GTTAGCAATCATCTTCTCTTTTTAGAAATGTTAGTAATCTTCTTGCCTAGACTACAGAATTCATTCTAAGAGCTTAGAGGGACTGTTTCTGATATAATCTATAGGCTAGATATTTGAAAGAATTTCTAGGCTGTGATGATTGGTATTTCTGAGTATAAAAGTTTAATCCAAAGTCAAATTTGAACAGCAATTATGGAAGTTTGCCCAATGTTCTTTGTATTCATAGTCATTTTCCTTATCACTCATGCTTTGTATTTTTATCCCGGGCTGGGATAAATATGAGGATGAATATTTTGCTTTGGACAGAGTCCGTTCATATATACATGTAATTCACTGCCAGTTTGCTTTGTTGCCTAAGGTGTTTATTTCATCTTCCAGTTTTCTTGGCTGCCAGAAATATACATAAGAACTGTATATTTTTACACACCAATATATAGTACTATGAACTTTTTTTCCTGAAAAGGGCCCTCATGTGTTTATCTACATTCTGTTATATTTATCATTTATTATAGGTTTTAGGGAAGTTTGATAGCGCAGTAGTATTGTTGAGGAACAGAGGATGGGTAAAAGCATAACAGATAAGTCCTGTGAAGAAGTAGCATATCAGTGATCATCTATAGAAGGAACATGGGATTAGGAAAAATACTGAGGCCAGTATCTTGTTGAGAGCAGGTAGTGCACATCTACCCACAGATCTCTGTTTTACCACTTACAAAAACAGTTCTCCCTGTTGTTTGCACAGATGGATATTCCATGGCAGGTAGGATTGATAGGAAACAGCAAGCCGCACTTAGGGACATGGGGACTGAAGGAGAAAGAATTCATAGTAATCTTTAAAATGCATGTACCACTGGCTGAGGACCACGTAGATTTGGGGCTGCAAGGGACCAGGTGTTAATTTGATGGTAGTAACCAGATATTTAAACATGGAACTGCTCCCATGATATTGAACATGAGATTTTCATGACAAAGGTTTGTATGAATATGGTTCATATTCCTCTGTCCTGTCCCTAAGCCTTTTAATTGTAAATGGGGTCATTTAAATACACCAGCCAGAATAAATTTCCCAGTTTGGGAACCACTGGACTAGATGTGTGAGCTATAGCAAATGCCTCCTTTTGGCAAGTTGTGCCACCTGTACTGATGTGATTTTCTTGCAGTATACAGTATGAGCTGACCATATATATGAGTCATAGAGATCAGGAAGAAGAACTTGCTTAGTTGTTATGGTGGTTCTTTGATTGGTCATCTGTGAACTACAACCTATCTGCCTCTCTTTGTTCCATCATACTTCATGTTACTTTGCTGGTGAGAGATTGGAACTGAGTGGGAACCCTTACAGCCTGCAGGGAAATGTGTGGGGAGAGGATCCTGCCTAAAAATTATTAAGCTTTGAAGATTCTTACTGTCTACAGTGGTGCCCCGCAAGACGATGATAATGCATTCCATTGAAATCGCTGTTTAGCGAAATTGTCTTGCAAAAAGCATTTCCCCATTGGAATGCATTGAAACCCATTTAATGCATTCCAATGGGGAAAATAGTCGACATCGTGCGAAGATTGCCCATAGGGAAGCCATTTTAAATCGCTGTCTTCCGAAGCATTGGTGCTGAAAACACCCTAGGGAAGCCATTTTGCGGAGCCGCCGATCAGCTGTTAGAATCATCCTCTTGCTAAGCATCGGTCCCCCCCAAAAAAGCATCTTCCGAAGCGCGGACCAAAACGTCGTATAGCAAAAATCCCCCATAGGAAACACTGTTTTGTGAAGCGCAGTGGCGGTAACAAAACCTTGTCATCATGTGGATTTGTCAATTTGCGGGGTCATCGTCTTGCGAGGTACCACTGTATATGCAAGTGTGAGACCTGAATGTGTGAGTTCTCAAATAACCATTCAAGGAACCAAAGTTATAGGGAAGCAACTTATTGTATTGTCATGCTGTTGAGAACAGTGGAATTTTTTAAATCTTTAAATTGGTTTCTTTTGCTCTTTTACAGTGAGATCAATGCTAGACTTGATGCAGTGTCTGAGGTGCTCCTGTCAGAATCAAGTGTACTTGGTCAAATCAAGTCTCTCCTGTATAAGATGCCAGATGTTGAGAGAGGAATTTGCAGTATTTATCATAAAAAGGTGATTACAACTATATTTTGTATTCATATGGTGGCTTTTACAGCACTAATGCTTTATAGAGATTCAGTTTAAGATTAAGGTTTACTTGTTGAAAGGTGAGCAGTGATTGAAGGGATCTCTTGAAAAAAAAATTAGTGTGACTAAGGCAGAAAGCTGGCTTCTGTGAGTCTCTGTTGAGCAAGATGCCTCATCACCCTATAAGAGAGTAGGCCAAGTGTGAAATGTGTATCTGGAACAGCATGTGGAACACTTGGCTGTTTTTAGGGGCTCCAGTCCTTGCGCATACCCTACTTTTCCCATTAAAAAGGTGAATTGACAGTTAAGAAGACTTTGTTTTTAAAAATTACCTTGAAATTACTGTTGTTTTTACTTTCAGTGTTCCACTCAAGAATTCTATCTAGTAATCAACACTTTATCTCATTTGGAAATGGCAATCACAGTGCTGGTTCCAGCTATACGAACTGAGGTGCAAGCAATGTTGTTGCAAAAGTGTCTCTTAGAAATTCCTGAATTGCTTCATATAACGAAAAAGTACTTAAACATTCTTAATGAAGAAGCAGCAAAGTAAGTAAATATAACATGTAATCTGTTTCTTGGGTATTGTATGCAAATACATTTTTCTTTCTAAGATTCAACATCTTTTTCTTATTAAGGAAAGCAAAAGTTGTTCTATAATCCTTTCTCCTCAATACTACTCCAAATTGTGATCCCAGTATTGTCACTCTCTCAGTCCTTTAACTGTTCTCAGGCATATGTCTTTCTCTTTTAATCCTGTAGCTTTCACCCTCCACACATTTGTCATGTGAGGAGAGTAGGCTTAGATGGGGAGAAGCAGTAAAGTAAACATAGGTAAAATGTTTCTAACTGACACAAGCAGAGAGGATATGTGAATGAAAAAAAATGAAAGCACAGACATCAACAGAGTCAGAATCAAGGTTATGCAATGGCAGAATACATTGTAAAAATCACAACTGGTTTGGTGTCACATCCTTGCTACCTGATCCCCTTAACTGGAGGTTCCAGAGAGTAAACGAAGTATACGAAGTGTATATTCTACTACTGAATTACATCCCTAGCAGAAAGGCTTGCTGTAAATAACAAGTCAACTTAACGCTGATCATTCAAAACTAGGTCTAATAAGGTGGCATAAACATTCTTCTAGAATATAGTCAGATCTTTAGTTTGTCAAATGTCAGTAGTGGTAGAAATCAATGAGGATGTAGTGAGTTAGCTCCTCTGTGTGTTCCATTGATTTAAATGGGCCTACCCTAACTATGAATTACTGTACTACAGTAAGTCAGAGTAGGCCCTTTGGAATCAATGGAATTTACAGAGGAGCTGACTCACCAAATCCACATTGATTAGTGGGCCTACTCTTGTGCAACTTATTACTCTACACAATAGGATTTTGGCCAGCGTGTATACAGTGGTGCCCCGCATAGTGACGATAATCCGTTCCGAAAAAATCGTCGCTATCCGGATTCGTCACTATGCGGGGCAAAAAAGCCCATAGGAACGCATTAAAACACGTTTAATGAGTTCCTGTGGGCAAAAAACTCATCGTTATCCGGAAATCCTCCATGCGGCCGCCATTTTCGCTGCCCGGCAAGCGAGGAAAGGGCATGAAAACACTGCAGGCGGCCATTTTCTTTACCCGGTGGCCATTTTGGAACCGCTGATCTGCTAAAAAACCCATCGCTATGCGAAAGTCGGTAAGCAAAACACTTACCGATCATCACAAAGCAATGTTTTACCATCTAAAACATTGTTATGCGATCGCTTTTGTGATCGCAAAAAATGTGTTGCTATGCGGATTCGTCGTTAAGCGAATCGCTCGTTATGCGGGGCACCACTGTATATTAATATAATTAATATACTAACTTTTTTTCTTTAAACATTGATTTTCTGTAATTAGGACTGGAGACAAAACACAACTGTTCAAAGATCTTGATGATTTTCCTTTAATAAAGATGCGGAAGGATGAGATAAATGCAGTACTTTGTCAGATCCAGACACACCTTCAGGATGTAAGAAGAATGCTAAATTGCCCCTCTGTCAAAGCAATGTTTTACCATCTAAAACATTGTTATGCGATCGCTTTTGTGATCGCAAAAAATGTGTTGCTATGCGGATTCGTCGTTAAGCGAATCGCTCGTTATGCGGGGCACCACTGTATATTAATATAATTAATATACTAACTTTTTTTCTTTAAACATTGATTTTCTGTAATTAGGACTGGAGACAAAACACAACTGTTCAAAGATCTTGATGATTTTCCTTTAATAAAGATGCGGAAGGATGAGATAAATGCAGTACTTTGTCAGATCCAGACACACCTTCAGGATGTAAGAAGAATGCTAAATTGCCCCTCTGTGAATTATGTAACAGTATCTGGACAAGAGGTAACATACATATTATCTTCCTATTCTATTCATTTCGCATGTGCCTACATTTTATCAATGTGTATAACTCTGTTTACATTTTTGCAGTAATTAGTTTCTCATCTTATCTCATTGCCTAAATTGTTCCAGAGCTTGTAACAGTTTACTTTTATTAGTGAATCTTCAATAGATTCGTGTTTGTATGTATGCTTCAAATTAAATTAATTTCTGTTGCAACACTAATTTAATGCTACTAGCCTGCAGTTGTGAGGAACCACATCATAAGTTAAAAATGAATGTGTCTATTTTCAGGTGAACATTAGAAAAATGGTAATGAATTAGTTATGTAAAAAGGAGGATATGAACATTAGATCACCAGGCAGCCAGTGAGCATTTTAAAAAGATGCTTTTGTTTGATTCAGAATTTTGCCCAATGAATATTTTGGAATATTTTAAAGATTCTGTTCAACAAAGTGCACAAAAATGTGTGTTATTTCTTCTTACTGCTAATAATGGAAATAATTGGAAAGGGCTCTTTGATTTCCGTTTTCCTGCTTTTGAAGCTCTTTCCGATGTCCATTTTCGCTCATTTAAAAGTGCCTTACAATGTTTGGAACAGGTTTTAAATGCTTGCGATCGTTAGCCCACCTCCTGAACCCTATGCAAACTTAATTTGGTGTTGTTCTGAGTCGTCCTTAATTTTTGGTGATTTTTTGTTTTCCCTATTTAAATGCATTGAACTGTCCATTCAATTGATTTAAATGAGGAAAATAAAAAAATCACCAAAAATTAATGAAGACTCAGAAAAACACCAAATTAAGTTTGCACATGTTTCACAAGGTGCACTATGGAATCCAAGCATTTAAAACAGGTTTCAACCATTTTAAGACACTTTTAAATGAGCAAAAATGGACATCGTTAAGTGAAATTCCCCCATAGAGAACATCGTTAAACGATAGGGGAAATTCCTCAAAAAAACCCATCGCTGTGTGAATTCATCGTTGTATGAAGCAATCGTTGTGCGAGGCACCACTGTAATAGGAAAATGATTTGAAGTTAAGGTAGCATACAAAATACTTGCAAGTGTATGGTTGAGAAGCTTGGAAAGTAGGTGTGGGATTTAGAACTGACCTGTCACAAAGTAAATATGGTAATTTAAAGTTATTTGTTATCCTACAAAACATACATCTTTTGTCAGTCTAACTTAAAGGATGACTTATGAGAACTGTTGAACTCACACCCTTATATTTGTCCCTAGTTAAAAAAGGTCAGGCCGGGAAAGTAATGAGGGTTAACATCTTTGCTAGCAAGAAATCCAAAGGAAACTTCATAGAAGCATATCTAGCAGTATCAGGATTTTTTTTTACTATTTTGTTTGCCAAGGCATCATTTTATGTTGACAATATAAAAACTTAAAGAGTGGTTAAAAATACTTTTCTTCTCAGTTTTGAAGCATGTATGGAGGAAAGGACATTTTGGGAAGTATTCATAACGTCACCATGAATTAGAGTCAACTTGACAGCACATAACATTGTATACTATTTTCTATTTAATTTTGTTTATATCCTGCAGTTAGTCCTGGAATAGCTAATGAGAGAAATAAAACGCAGTAGAACACAGTTCATAGACCATAATTCTGAAACTGTTGATACCTAATTTAATAGACTTTAGAGCAGAGGTCCCCAATGGCCAGTACACAGCCTGGTGCCGGTCCGTGGCCTGAGCTGGACCAGGCTGTGAAGACAGACCTCCCGCCCCACCCCCCGCACGCACTCACCCAGCATAGCCTGTTTGCATGCACGCTCCAGCATGTCCGTGTGAGCGCCATGCCGCCATTTGTGCATGCGCACAAGTGCGTGGGGTGCCCCGCCTTCCCCAGTTGGTCTGCAGGGTGAAAAAGGTTGGGGACTCCTGCTTTAGCACAGTTCCTGATTAACAGTGATGCTGTCACTTTAAAGGAGATGTTTTCTACAATATCTGATATGCAGATACAGTAGTACAATATCACTCATTGGCAATTTAGAAGGTCTGTGAAACTATAAAAAACAAGCTTCTCCATTTTCCACACGACAGCCATTCAAATATTTGAAGATGTCTTTCATCTTCCCAGTGTTCTCTTCTGAAGGCTTAATATACCCTACTCATTCAATCATTCCTCATAAGCTTTACTTTCCACTCTTTCTAGTATCCTGGTAGCCTTCCCCTGGATATATTCCATGGGTTTAGTATTCTTGAAATGTGGATACTAGAACTGGACATAATATTCTGGGTTGGTCTGAATGGAGTGGTGCTATAGTGGGCTAAATAGGGTTACTTAAGGTTGGGTAGAGTCCAGTATGCCATGTGGTGTGAACCATTTCATCCAAATGGCGTATGCACCTTAAGCAACCTTGTTTGATCCAGCTTCTGGCAAAAGGCAAGGAAAAAAGCCCCATCCTTGCCCTCTTCTGTCTCCTCCTGTTTTTTGAGGGAAGATTTCATATTTAATTTTTTTTAATTAATGTAAGTCACTGGTTCTTAACCTTGGGTTACTCAGGAGTTTTGGACTGCAAATCCCAGAAGCCTTCACCACCAGCTGTCCTGACTGGGGTTTCTGGGAGTTGCAGTTCAAAAGCATCCGAGTAACAAAGGTTAAGAACCACTGATCTAAGTGATGCAGTACGTTAGCATTGCCCTCTGTGGTTGAAAAAAAGTAATGCATCTGTCTGCCGTACTGTCCAAAATTAGGCAAGGTTTTGACTGAGCTTTAGAAAGATGCTAACTTTTAGCTGTCGAATTAGCCTGCCAGAACTACTGCCCTAAATGGTTTAAATTTTTTTGTTTTGTTTTGTTTCTTCATCTTGCTCTGTGAAGGAACAGAGGAAGCACATTTTTAATTCCCCCTTTTAATTTCCCAATTTCCCCATAATATTAAGTGATTAAGTTGTCTGTTTAATCCACTAATGATATAGGGATGTTGAAACCATCTGGGAAATTAAAGCAGGATTTTTTTTTTTTTTTTTGGTTTTATCCTAGTGATCGTATGCACTGCAAATGAACCAAATTGAAGCAATCCTACTTACACTCCTGACAGAGCCTCAAAGTTGCAAATAGGAACGCTGTGGGGATGGGCTGGTTCACTCGAACAATAAGTAAAATTTTAATTTTGGTATAGGTTTAATTGTTTTTTAATATGGTATTTTAAAATTGTGTGTGTGTTATAGTTTTATCTGTTTGTGAGCTGCCTTGGGTCTCTATGGGGATAAAAGTGGCAATGAATGAATGAATGAATGTTATCTGACTGCCAGAAAAAGGAGGGAACCAGCCTGTCTCCGCAGTGGAGGAAACAGCAGGGCAAATGTCCATCTGATCATGTCCTTAGCTCATCTGCAGCCTCACTCATTTTTTAGACATCTTCCACTTTTCATTCTCATAGGAATTGTTTGTCATTTAACCTTCATTATCAGCCATTAAGAAACTCCCATCCATCATAGACTCCCTTCTCTTAGAGTATTCTGACCACAGGATATTTCTAATTCCAGTATTTTGCTTATTGTAAAGATCTTTGGTCAGAAACAATAAAGTTATTTTTAAGAATTTCTGGTGGAGACTCTTACCAGTATTTCTCAAAGTCATAGCACTCACTGTCATTATTATTTTTCCCTTTCTGACGTATAGCAATTCCTAAGAGGGTGTGGTCACTTCCACCCAAAAACTTTTTAAACATACAAAATGTAATATGCCGCAAAAACTTAGAATTGGCTTTAAAATGAACATTGTGTGGTGCTAAATATTCCGTTCTACTGTTTATCACGGAATTGTATCTGTGTAAAGACAAAAAGTATTAGCATTAATAAGCTCGTGTTCATGCAAATGAAAATTGGCTGTTTCATTTCTTTTTTTAACAAACGGTTTCCCTTTCACCCGGAATTATAAACAGGAATATGTAATATTCTTTGACCTTGAGCCTCTGAACAAAGGTGTTGAAAAATGCAGCCACAGTTAGAATGTTTTGGTTAGAATATTATGTTATTATTTAATCACATTGGCAAAGAACATAAAGTTTAGTAAGTTCATTACTAGTGGCAGTAGAAAAAAACAGAAAAAGCATTGTTCCCATTACAAGCCCTGTTAAGTAATCTCCTTTTTGATAGTATAATTGTGCATTTTTCTAGTACTGAAGCTACTTGGTGAAAACTACAGAGTGAGAGTGATTATACCTCATTCATGTTTTCCCTTCATATTTTATGTTATGTGCTCTCAAGCTCAAACCAACTTATACTAACCTTAATAGGGCTTTCATCTTAAGTGAGATATCGAAGAAACAGTTTTACCAGTGCCACTCCCAAATTTCCAAGCAGGGATTAAAATCAGATCTCCTGAGTCCTGCTCTATGTCTTTATTACATGTTTACTGTATATGCTGAATATCACAAAGATAGAGGAAATCTAGTGAATTTATTCCATCAGTGTGTGGGGTGGAATCCCTCACCGCTGTAGACACTGTGCAGCATTAAAATACGTTCTGGGGGATTCGGGGCCCCTCTAGAGCAAATTTTGAGATGCAATATGGAAAAAGATAGAGGGAGAAAGTCCAGGTATAGAACATACTTGCATGTATGCATTTTTGTATTCTAATCTAAACAGACTATTAGTGGCATGAGACTTTTGTGCACATGAAGTCTTGGATGAAGTAAACTCTGCCAGGATTAATCTGTTAATTGTTAGAGTACTATAAGGTTCTGATTTTTTGTCCTGAAATAGACTGCCACAGTTACCTGTCTGATATTTACTGAGGCGATATTTTAGTTTCAGATTGAAGTTAAGAACTCACTCCTGTTTTCTGTACCAGCTAATTGGATTAAAGTCAGTAGGTATGTAAAATATTACCCCATGTTTTATATAAATCAATGAAAAATGTCTTATTAGAAAGCATCTTAGAAGTCTAAAAATGTAAAATGTGAAGTTCAAGTTATAGAATAAATATTTCAGTTCTCAGTCTTTGGTTCATGGGAAAGGTCTGATGAAGCAGTGTTTCCATTCATGTTCAGGTGAATGTGAATAAAAGCTCATTTTAGATTTCCAAGGTCAAAACGGGAACGAAGCGCATGTTGGGATCAGTGAATGTGTGTGCATCTTCATTGTTATATGTAGGCTGAATGATTGCATGGGGCTACCCTACTATGTTTATGCAGGGATATTTTTCATCAAAAGGATTTGGACAACTTTATTCTCATTACTGTAAATTATTCTAGGCTTCTCCAGTCATTGAACATTGATGTGTACAAGATAAAAACTCATAATGTACTCCTAGAGTAAGACTAATTGCTCTTTTGATGAAGTTGGAATAGACTAGATGATAAGCATCCCCCCCTCTTTTCTTCCTTCTATTTTTTATTCAGCATAGTGTGAATTCCATCTTGTGACCAATTATGTAAAAGTAAATCCCATTAATTTCTAAGGGATTTAGCTGCGGAATTACAGTTTTGATATATTATGTGTTCACAGTGGTTTGACAACTGTTCTGTGTGACTTCAGAATAGCTTGATTAATCTGTGGCTTTAAGTAAGGGCTTGTCTACATGCCCCTTTTGGAGTGAACTGGATTGGGCTAAATAGGGTTGCTAGAGGTCTGATATGTCATTTGTTGTGATGCTGCTATCCAGGTGACATATGGGTCTCAAGCTACTCTATTTGGTCTGCTGTCAATTTGCCAATATTATGGAGTGGCTTAAGAAAAAAACCACTTCTAGTTAAGAGCTGTTTGAGAAAAGCAAAAAAATAAAAAATACAAAATCCCCCTCATTGCTCCATCCTGTCTTGTCCCGTTTCTGGGAGGAAGTTTCCCATTTAGCTTTTAATTTTTAAAATGATTCTTTGTATATGTGCAGTCCTACAACACTTTAATTTTTAAAAAAAATGAAATTGAAATCCAAGGAACAGTTTCCATCAGTGGAAGGATGTGTGCAGAATTCCTGTGCAGCATCAGAATCTATTCTGGGAGATTCAGAACAGAACAATTACAAAACTAAATCACTGCCTCAGCCCCTCCACAGAGCCCAGCAAGTGTTTAATTTGCTAATATCTTCAGGTGGCTCTCTTCTTAAGCCACTTCATGATATTGGCAATTGACAGGGAGACTTGCTTTTGGTTCATTTCCAGCAATTGCATGGACTGTTTATGAAGAAAAAGCGAGTGACCCTAATCACACGAAAAAAGTAGAAGCCCCTGATAGGGCCAGAAAGGTCTGGGCAAGACTGCTCTGGGAATGGGCTGATTTACTCCAGGAAAGACATTGTGTATCACCTTCTTTAGGAGCAAACCAGGCCACCCTGCAGCAGACCAAACAGATAGCTAAACACCTGTGTAGTCAGACTCACAGTTATGTTTCTTGGATGGTTTCGAAATTGTAAATGTTTGTCTTGCTTCACCTTTTTTGTAACTGAAAAGCAAAATGATTAGAACTGTGGCAGAAGAGATGTGCTACTTCAGCTTTTTACTCTGCCATGTTCCTAATAAGAAAGAGAGTTGCCCAAGCCTGTTCTTTGTAGTGGGATAAAAGTTCTTATTTCACCCATTGGACCTACCAACCCGTGACCCTCCCAGACAGTCTGCTGAATCAAGAAGCTCAACTTGGCTCCTGACAGAGTCCACTCTGATCAAAGCAGGCTTCCTTATTTTAATGATAGTTAATAATGTACAGCAGGGGTCTCCAAACTACGGCCCATAGGCTACATCCAGCCCACCTTGCCATTTTATCTGGCCTGTTCTCTTCAGTCTGGGGGGGGGGCTTCCATGCAGTCAGTTGGTCAGACATCTGGCCGGGGGTGGGTGGATCCAGGAGGGTGTGTTTGCGGGGGGTGTATGTTCCTTCAGCCCTCAGAAATATTGAAAATATCCGATGGTGGCCTTCATGGTCAAAAGTAATGTAATAATTGGAATTCACTTAAGTTTCATTTGGCAGCCTTAGCAGCATGACACCATGCATTTATTTGAAGAGAAATACATGTTGATATTCAAGGAGCTTGATAACAGGCCTCAGTGCTTTGTGGTATTTCTGTAGAAATCCACCAATTTCTCTCTAATTCATACTCAACTGGAAAGTCTCTTACTAGTTTTCCAGAAATACAGTTTGATGACAGCTGAGTGTGCAACATCTTTGTGTAATCTTTTTGGGCCACTGGGCATATTTGGTATTTTGATGGAGTACTGGGAGTGCTGTCATGAAATGGCTACCATGGTGAGCTTTGCCAGTCAAGAACTCCAATTTCGTCTAACTAGATTTCATACACAATCTTTAGATGGTGTGTGCGCGCCAAAGTAAAACTATTATTTTGGAATTTGCTACTCCAACTCCCATCTCATAAAAGGCAAAATGACAATGTTCAGAGGCAGAGAGCTTGGCAGGGAACTGAGTACAAAGCAGAGGCAGAAATCCCACAAAACATACATTATACATAATATACATACATACTCCACAGGCAAGAGACACAAACAGCTTAGGTAAAAAACAGACGCCGCAAAAAAAAATTAATAGTTGTATTTAATATTGCACCACCCTTAAATGTAATTTCATATATTTATTAACCTCAACCTGCACTTCTATATTGTAATTTCCTAAATGGTAAATTGCTTTACTCTTAAGCAGAAAGTTTAAAGGTAAGCCTATGGGCGTACACATTTTATGTGAAAAATATTTTTTAAATTTTTCTTCTGGAATGTTTCTTGGAAATCATGTACCTTATTTGTAATAAAAACTAATGGAATTAATAGAATTCCACAATAACAGTAGGAGAATCTTTGCTTTTGAAATCTGCTTTTTAAGGCACACAAGGATGCATTGTATGTTAACTTTTTCCTTTGAGGAGGTAAACCTATTGTCATAAGAGTGTATGCTGCATTGTCTTAAATGTGCTGTCCATTTTGAACATATAATTACATTGAGCAGATATGAGCAGCAGCTGTTTCTCAAGAACAACCCCACTTGAATATACATCATACTCTTTTTTGTCTATGGCTAGTATCTCTGTCTTGGAAACATGTAATATGTGAACCATTCCTAAGGAAGAACTGTTCTCAATGTGTACATTGCTACATGATTGAACGCTTAGTAACCTTGATTTTCTTTCTGGTTTTCACTTCTAGCACAAAAGCTGTCAGCCGTTTCCATACTCCTTTTATTGTAGAAAATTACAGACATCTGAATCAGCTACGTGAGCAGCTAGTCCTTGACTGCAATGCAGAATGGCTACGCTTTTTAGAGTGAGTTCAAAAATCCAATTTTAGCTATTGAAATAAGACTATAATGTAAGTTTCAAAAGCAGGTGATTACAGTTGTACTAAATGTTCGTTGCTTATATATTGTACCTGCACTGCAAAAGCAGCACATTTAAAATACATACAGCCAATATTGCAAAATATTCCTGATCTTTTTGATCATTTGTATCCAATTTTTAAAAATTATTGTACTATATATAGCAAAGGCTAATCTAATCCATGGTCCATCTGAAATAGATTCCTTTACACCTCTAGTTGTCCTAGTGTACCTACTTACTCATCAATAACGCTGTGCCACCATAGTAAAAAAAACCTAAAACAATTTCTACCTTAAAAGTTATAACAGTTATTTTGCAATAGACATTATAATTTTATGAAAGTATTCTAGAATGGGAGACTGCCTATCTCCTCAGACAATCACAGTGTTGTACCCAAATAATTTTTATAAAAAACGTTGAAGAAAATATTAAACTGCCACATCTCAACCTTATCTTTAAAATTTATTCATTATGCTTAAATCTTAAATCATGAAAGAACAACACAATGAAAGCAATCAAACATCCCATAACAAAACGACAAACAAACAATGGCCCACAGACTGGAAACATTAAGTATACATTCCTGTCCCCAAGAAAGGAGATGCCAAGGGGTGCAATAAATATATAGAACCATTGCTCTAATTTCCCATGTAAAGTGATGCTTGAGGTGTTGCAACAACGGCTTTTACATTACATGGAGCAAGAAATGTCTGAAAACCTATACAAAATAGGTTAAAGCATGACAGATTCCTTTGAAGAGATACCGTATGATGAAGAACTGGGGTGGGGGCTTCCATGCAGTCAGTTGGTCAGACAACTGAAGAAAGTGAAATGAAATCTGCTTTGAAAGAACTGGGAAAAATAAATCACCAGAGGTAGAAGGAATACCAGTAGAACTATTTCAGCCCACAGAGAATGAAAGTCCTAACAAGACCATGCCAACAAATGATGTTCAAGATGGATCCCCCCCCCAAATATCATATCTCTCATATCCCCTGGCTATTGGAGTCTACCAAAGAATTTCAGAAGATTATCAGTCTATGCTTTATGAATCACAGCAAAACCTTTGATTGTGTGGATCGTGAAAAGCTGTTGGTTGTTCTAAAAAATAGGGGTATCCTCAGCACTTGATAGTCTTGATGTGTATGTAACCTGTATTGTGCACAAGAAGCTACTGTCAGGACAGAAAATGGAGAGACAGTTTGGTTTCCTATAAGCCAGTGATGACGAACCTATGGCACGTGTGCCACAGCTGGCACGCAGAGCCTTAAGTTGCCAGATCACTACCCCTGGCAGCCAAACCTGAGGAGGCAGCTGCAGCCATGGTACTAGCGCCCCAACAGGTGGTGGGCCAAGATCCGGAGCAGTTGGGGTTGGGCACAATTAGAGGCAGATCCAAAGTGGCTCTGGATGCACCTCCGTGCCCGGTATTCCCCCTTCCACTGCCGCCCGCTGGTGTTTTTTTTTGTTTGTTTGTTTCTTTCCCCAATTTGGGCACTCAGGCTCAAAAACGTTCACCATCACTGCTATAAGCAACTGTGTCAGACAAGGACACATTTTATCTTTCTATTTGTTCACTCAGTACACAGAACATATACAGAAAGCTAGATAAGATTCAGATGAAGGAGTGAAAATTGATGTAAGAAACATTGATAATTTAAAATATTCTGATGACACTATTTTACTGGTAAAAAGCAACAATGACTTGAAACTGTAATGATCTGTGTTTTTGAAGCTATTGTGTGTTTCTTAGAATGGTTTATGTAGTCATGTAATTGTCTAAATGGCATCCATTATGAATCAATGTCTGTGTCTGTGAAAGGAATTTCACATGCTGTTTTTGACTGCCTAGCTCTCAGTCCTTATCTGGTTACCAGGATGGCCGAAGAGCTGAACTTCTTGTAGTCATAACAATTCTACCACTAACATAATAACACCTGCGAAAGTTCATGAGAATCTGGGGCGGGACAAGACAATTTTTGCTTGTTCCTAATTGGTCATCCTGTGGAGGAAGAAGAATGGGAGTAATGGAGTCGTAAGTGGTAAAATGGAGTGTTGCTGAGACAGAGAAGAGCCTTTTTTTCCAACATGGATTCTAATTCCTGAAATTGAGCTTTTTCCTAACATGGACCTGATGGATTATACTGGACTCTACAGTTCCTGATGGACTATGGAATTCCTAGATACGTAAGGATGTAGTTTTCTTTAAGAAAAGGATGGCTAAGCCTGACCTTTATTCTAGCTTAGTAATCACTTATTTTATTTTATTTTTCTTAGCTGGAGTTTGTGGAGTAATCTAATGTCTTGGTTGGAAATGTTACTAAATGCCTTATTTTGCAATAAACTGAATTCTGAGTAGAACTATATTTCTTAATAAAAACAGTAATGCATAAGATCTCATGTTTTGGTCTCTTGAACAGAATCGCCTGAATAATTGGCCACGTATTTTTCTACCACAGAGCCCATATTTCACCTGAGTTCTAACTCATGGTTTGTGTTATGTTTCTTTCTTTTCTTAACAAAGGGGGTAGACTTGAGGAAGGAGATTCAGGGCAGTATCCTGGCTGAGTTTGGGCTCACTTTAGCCACATAGGGACTGACTAATCTCCAGAATCTCTCTATTCCCGGCTCGTCTGATCTCCCTGGAGACGGATGAAGCTTACAGAAACAAATTCATGAAAGTGAAAGAAGAAAATGCCAAAGCGAATAGAAGACATCAAGAAGACCAAATTGTGATTATAGAGGAATTAAACAACTTTAGTGTTGACAGTGAAGAAATTGAAATAGATATTTTGTATACAGTACTTTGGTTTAGTCATCAATCCAAATGGAGACTGCAGTCAAAAAATCAGAAGAAGACTGAGGCTCAGAATGGCTGCAAAAATCGGAAGAAGACTGAGGCTCAGAATGGCTGCAGTGAAAGAATTAGAAAATATCATCACGTGTAAGTCTTGATCATGATATATGGGTGTGAAAGCTGAACCCTGAAGAAACCTGATAGGGGAAAAATGATTCATTTGAAATATGGTGCTCAAGAAGAGCTTAGGATACCCTGGACTGCCAGAAAAATAAATAAGTGGATTGTAGAATAAATCAAGTCTGAAGTAGCTCTGGAGGCAAAATTGACAAGACAGATTGTCATACTTTGGGCACATGATGAGAAAGCAAGATTCTGTGGAAAATGCTAGGAAAAGTTGAAGGTAGCAGGAAAAGAGGAAGATCAAATATGAGATGGATTGGCTGCACTGAAGCCACAGGCTTGAGTTTACAACAGCCGAGCAGGGGCAGTTGAAGACAGGTCATTTCAGAGATTGCTCATCTATAGAATTGCTGTAAGTTAGAGTCAGAAGTAAATTGACTGCTTGTAACAACATAAAGCCCAGTTCAGTTCATTGGTACCTGTTTACAAATCTCTAAACAACACGGGGCCCCAATAGCTGAAAGAATGCTCCCTCAACTGCCAACCAAATCATGCTTTAAGATCAATCAGAAAACCACTTTTTGTTGGCTTAACCAGTAGGCATGACCCTTGATGTGCTGACTCAAGATAGGGCCTTCTCAGTGACATCACCCAGATTATAGAATTTCCTTCCCAGGAAAATGAGGTTGGCTACCACACTGTTGGCAACAGGAAAATCCACATATGCTCCCAAGGTTTTTCAGATGTAACCGGACATTGGGAGATTACTCTTCTATGGCACTGAGTAAGTGTGTATTATGTGTTATGCTGTGCCACTAATTGAATTTTATGGTTGATATTTTTAATTGTATAGGTTTTAAAGAAAGTATGTTGACTTCTTTCGGTTCCCTTTGGAAGTAATGGTGGTATATAAACAGTAAGAACAGGAAAGCAAAGAGAGGAACTTCTTTCCAATAAGGAAATTTCTTGGCTTTTTAAAAAATGGTACTTTTGCATGACAATGCATTTCTCTGTACATTCTCATTTACAATATGCATACTGTATAGCAGTGGTCCCCAACCTTGGGCCTCCAGGTGTTCTTGGACTGCAACTCCCAGAAGCCTTCACCACCACCTCTGCTGGCCAGGATTTCTGGGAATTGAAGTCCAAGAACATCTGGAGGCCCAAGGTTGGGGACCACTGCTGTATAGGATTGTAACTTAAATATTATGTTCTTTGTTCTCTAACGGCTATCTGCAGCCATTTATCATATATTCAAATCTTATTAAACAGAGCCAGTGGCAGATAGTAACAGTGCTTCCGTATTAATGATTTAATTCATGTATTTCTCTCTTTCCTATCCCTTTATCCATATTTATGTATTTATAGTAATTTTAGAGACGATTATCACTCAATCACTAGAGCTGTGGGTCACCTAGCAACTGTGGACTGTGTTTTTTCCTTGGCTGAGGTTGCCAAACAAGGAGGCTATTGCAGGTAATTGTTTTCTAAACGATTGTAGAGTATGATGCTTACCTTTGTGGATTTAATGTAATGCAAAAATAAGTATTGTCAAATACTCATTTACATGTTTGAAGACATAAATATATTTCTCCATAGGATTTTATTTTTCCTGGAGAATGTTGTTGGAGTAGCTTTTCTTCCAGAGTATGATGGCATTTTGGAGAGGGCAGAAATCCTCATCCCACATGACATACTATAACATCTTTTTTTTTTAGACCCGTTGTAAAAGATGGGAAGTCAGAGATAACGATAAAAAATGGTAAACATCCTGTGATAGACGCGTTACTGGGAGAACAAGAGCAATATGTTCCAAATGACACAAACTTAGTAGTAAGTACAGTATACGGGATTAAAGCTAAAACATGATTGTGTTGTTTTTAGCCTGGGAAAAAATGTCATGTCTGTGGTGTTCATGGCAGTTATTGTAGTCTCTGTGCAAATGTTGTACCTAATAAAAAAATCCAAAAAATGAACAGCTAAAAAGCTGTATGAGATTTTTACTGAAGGGTAATACGATTTGTTTTTATTAGCTGTCTTCTATTAGCTGTTAGTGCTAAATATTGATAAAAGAGTAGGCTCCAATGATGGCAGTTTGCTGAAACAGGTCCTCCACTCTGGTATTCTCTTTTGAGAGATTTATTTATTTATTTATTGAACTTGTATGCCGCCCATCTACTCTGGGTGGCTCATAGAACACAAAGTAAAACAATAGAAATAAATTAGCAGTTAACAACACATAGATAGTAATTCAAGATGGAAGAGAATAAAAAGAAAATTATATAGTGCCCGGAGGGAAGGCCTGTCTGAATAACCAGGTCTTAAGTTGGTTTTTTAAAATGCCCAGCGAGGGGGCCAACCAGATCTCAGAGGGGAGTTTGTTCCAGAGACAGGGACATGTTCCAGAGATGCATTTCTAAGTACAACTGTTGAGGTACTGAGGAAGAAAATAAAGGCCATCTCATTCCAGCACACCTAGGCTGTATATTTTTTGCTTTGCAGCTCTGACAATTGCTGATGGAAACCTTGCTGTTACTGTACAGTTATATTTTAAATAGTTTCAGAGAACATTGATAATACTTTTTGAGGTGAATGTAAACAAGTGTTGTGAACACCAACCAGGCAGCCTTGAATGGGGAAATAAAATTTTTAAAAAAGAAATTATACCTTATTGAGCACCCAAGAATAGAAACCTATGAAGTTACACTTTGTATATTCTGGTTCTGAGCCACCAAAATTCTGATATTGTTAAATTGGCCAATTCTTTCAAATTGTGTAATTATAATCTTCCTTTTTTCCAGGAAGACGATCAAAGGGTAATGATAATTACTGGGCCTAATATGGGTGGAAAGAGCTCTTACATAAAGCAGGTTGCATTGATAACAATCATGGCACAGATTGGTTCCTATGTGCCAGCTGAAGAAGCAAGAGTTGGAATTGTGGATGGCATATTCACCAGGTAAGAGATCAAAGCTCTTAAAGCTCTGTTAAGGTTAAGTGAAAATAATTTTGTTGTTTCATCAGATATTTGTCATTAAGTGTATAACAACAAACAAAATCAAGTATTATAATAGACAGAGGGTGTAATCATAGAATCATCTCAGATCTCATAATGGAAGAGGGCTCTTCAGATGGAGCATTTGGTTGCCATATTATATCTGGCTAGTCCCTGATGGTATCGGTATTATTCTCATTGTTCCCATGATGTAAGATTTGTCTCGGTATGTTCAGTGACAAAAATCCATGGCTTCTGGAGGTTTTTGAAATATTACGCTTAAAAATTTAATCCTTCTTTCTTCCCTGCACTTTGTTCCCCATCTCTGCTTGAGAACCCCAGCAGCTGATACATTCCTACTTGGCTCTTCTCCCTAGCTATACAATCTAGCTGTAATAGTCACTGTAAGAATCAGTGTGGCTTGGTGGAAAAAACTGCCACCACTACTGTCACTGGCAACTTCTGTGTGGCACCCAACTGCATCACCTTGCTCTTTCTCCTCACTTTTATCCACTCACCTGCTCAGACTATATTCAAGTCTTCTTCAAAAGATTGAAATATGGCCTTAAAGTTAGGGATGTAACCGTCTGGTAATTACACTTTCCCAAAAGTACAAGGGAAGGAGCCAAAAGATAATTCCATGAAGCAAGAATTTTGGAGCATCCAGGCTAAATCTGTAACTAGAACTGCCTTTTACTGAATTAAGGAGATGAGTAGAACTTTCTTGGATCCAAGGTTACATGAGCATTTGATTAATTACAGTATTTAATCTGCAGCCATCTTCTGATAACTGGGAACTTCTATCAAGGTTCAAAATGACCCAGCGCAAAAGTAAATGTCTATTTTTGACACATTTTTAACTTGGAAGGCAATCAGAAATGGATTTGAAATTATGTTAAAGTCAGATTACAGCCAAATGTGACAGCCTACTAGCCAATAGTAGGAAAACATTGAATGTAGGTTACTTAAATTTAGAGCCATTGCTAACTTGGTCACATCATGAGATGCTAGGTATTTTCATTTATCTATTATAACTTTAATCAGGCATGTGGAATCTCTTGTGGCCAGTCTGCTAAGCAATAGAGACCAAAGAAATTTGGGTGTAAATGATTACCTGTCTCAGGATGGGTACATTTCTTAGAAACTAGGATTATCTTAAATGCCCTTTGTTTTTCAGGATTCCAGTTTATGCAGCTCCTTGTGATCATCAGTGAATATTCATATTAATAATTTAGGGCTATACCAAGTAATCATTCCCCCTTTGTGCTTCCATAAGCCCACTGAGTATACTAGCTAATACAAATGTAGAAGCCAATTAAAAATGCTGCTCTTTTATGAAGAAAATCACCCCCTGTTGCATATTATTGAAAAGGATCTAAAGCATTCTGCTAACACTAGTATATCTCTGTTATAACTTCAATACACAATTAGTGCAACACATTTTTATGTTGGATACATTCAATTTTTAAAAAAATTGAAATAATTATTGAATTATTAAGCTTGAGAGTTTTGAATGCTTAAATGCTGTATTCTTTGGGAATGTATTTTGATTAGCTCAGAAAATATTTAATTACATATTTCTAACAGATGATGATGATGATTTTATGTGCTGATGAGCACTTCAATAACACTTGAAATGAAGTCACTATATTAAAATTCTTTACTCAGTTGACTTTCAGTATGTACTTGTATTGTGAAGCGGGATGAAGGGAGGCTGGTTTGCCATGTCCCAGTAAGACAGAGTTCCAGAAGATTTTAAGTTCTCTTAAATAATAATGCTGGCTAAAAGACTGATACTATAAGTATAAGTTGCAAACAAAAGACACAACATATTGTTATTTACCCCAGACAGCCAGAGCCTGTTTCTCCCTGTATCTATTGAAAAGATAAATGCCCACCTTCTGTTAATCACTGGATTGAGGCTCTGTCAGATCTTTCAACATTCACGGGTGGCTTATAGACACCAACTGTGTATGGCACCTATTTGGTTGCCTGGTTATCTTCCATTGAACTCCATGCTTAGATTTTTGGTTTTTAAAATATCTGTGGTGGGGGGTTATTTTTGATTTTTTTTGTTATACTTTTTTGTTTTGGTGTGTTCTTCATGGTCTCTGTGAATGCACACTAATGGGTTAATATGCTCCTGCACAGAACATTCTAGAGCTCAAGCACATGGTGCCGGGACCTCCCATATGCTACCCATAACCCTGCCCTAGCACCGAGTGCCTCAGTTCCAGTTCTGCCACCACCGCTGCAGCAAGAGTAGACCTTTAGTCTAGATGGGCAAGATAAAAATCCAGTAAATAAATACTCAGCTTCAGAGCTCCTGCGTGTCATGTCTGAAAAGAAAAAAAAGAAAAGAAAAAAAAAGAAACAAACTTACTTTTGGACCTCCCAGTGCTTCGAATTCGGACTGTAGACAATTCCTTTGGACCTATGAGTTGGACAAAGCATAAAACTGAGTTATTCTCATTCGTCCAACTTTTATATTGTTTGTTTATGGCCACTTCGGGCCACTTCAAGCGTTGTACGACCTGCCCGAATAAGGTAACTTTGTCGGACAGCCATTTCCAGTGCCTATTTTGCTTGGGAGAAGAGCACCAGCCGACCTTTTGTGCCGCATTTCACTAAGCTGGTGCCTAAACTAAGGTTATAGTGCCTTCGTTCTTTCCTTTGGGAAAAGTCCCTTTGCCCTCCTCGGGACTCAGTTATGGACCCCCACAAGCCCGTTCTTCTGAGGCTTCCTCAAAGGCCAGTTGTTCGCCCACAGTGGCAAAGCATCCTCCTCAGGCTCAAGGTCGACCACCCTGGCATCAATGCTGAGGCTATCTCCGGCCCCCATGACAAAGAAAAAGAAGAAGCCATCTCAGAAACCCACATGGCCTGTGGCCAAGGCCTTAACCATCACCTCTGCCTCCAGCCCAATCCTGGCATGACTCTGTATGCCTTAGCATACCATCCGGGGATGAGGAAGTACCTCCCCCGAGGCTGGTGACCACGCCGTCTCCACAACTGTGCTTTTCCTGGGAGTGGGCAGATACCTTGGCTGAGGTGCAACAATTGACACAAGCCAGCCTGTGTTCCCTACCGGTCTTGGCATCAGGACAGGCATTGATATCTTCGCCCTTCTCCATATTGCCTGAAGCTCCTAGAAGGAAGAAACAAAAGACCCGTCATCTAGAGCCCCCAGCCAAGCCTGACATATATCAATATCGACAGCCTCCCCCAGATGACTATGTTCCTCACTGGGGTTTTCAGAGTGCTTGGCACTTTGACTACCTCCGTTACTATGAACCAGAAGGCTTTCACCCTGAGGCTCGATGATACGCAGCCCCATATGAGCCCAAGCCCTACTACCAGCGCTGGCTCCCACCTCACTATTATGGACCATATTTGCCATCACCCTCACATTCTTCCTCTACCCGGAGGACGATTATGGGCCCAAACCGCTGCTGCGGAGGTAAGCTAAGCGAACTGCTCCACATGACTTCTTGGTTCCCGCACAGCCGAAGAGGCCTTGTCCTGCACCAGCCCCTGTTCTTTGGTCTCAGCCAGATGCCACCTCCTTGCCTCTGTGAGGAACTGGGAGGGGAGACAGAGATAGTCAGGGTGTCCCACCTGATACGTATGAGCTGGAAGGGGCAGGGGATGCTCTCTCTCTCTCTGTCCCTGTACCAGGCCCTTGAGGATTTTGATTCCGACTCGGACGCTTCTGATGTCTGCATTGATAAGGAGTCTTCACCAGATGTGTCAACCTCGGCCTTGGATATGGCTGAGAACCATTAACCCTCTCCATCAGAGGATTACTCCTATTTTAAGTTGATTCACAGGATTGCGGAGGTGATGGACCTTGCCATAGATCAACCAGTAGTAGAGTAGGTGGATAAGGTCTATGAGGACATCAGTCAGGACCAGACCCCTCCTCTCCGCCTGGTGTTCATCTCTTCGTTCCTGAAGCTGGTCAAGGAGTCATGGAACAAGCCCTCTACTTCCCACCAGATACCTAGGAGAGTTGAGAACCTGTACAAGACTCATGGGGACAGTACAGATTTCGTCTCTAAGCATCCCCTACCAAATTTCTTTGTGGAGGATGCTACACAGAACAGGGCCAGGAACAGATCTACCCTACAGCCCACTCAGCAGGTCTCTTACATCGGGTTTGTACTCAATTCCATTTGTGGCCGTTCCTTTCTCCCGGAGGACAGGATAGTGAAGATTCGGTTGATGTTAACTTCCTTCCTGCTAGGTGCCAGGGTGTCCGCCCACCAAACTCAGCATCTGCTCAGCCTTATGGCTTCTACCACAGCAGTGGTCCAGTACACCAGACTGAAGATGAGATCCCTATAGGCCTGAAATCTTTCTCTCTTCAACCTCCTGCTTGACCCCTTCCCCCCGTCCAATCTTCTTGTGGTCACCATCGAACTGGCATCACAACTGACGTGGTGGAGCTACCAGCCAAGCTTGTTGGTCGGAAGATCCTTCAGCACTCTGGTCCTGAAGGTGCAGGTGATCAAGGATGCCAGCCCAACAGGCTGGGGAGCGCACTCTGAGGACCTGACGGTCCATGGCCTCTGGTCAGCTGCTGAGGTCTGCCTGCACATCAGTCACCTGGAGTTGCTGGTGGTTTCCAAGGCCTTTCGGGCATTTAAACAACTCTTCGCCAGCTGGGTAGTCCAGGTGGCTTCGGACAATACCGGTTAACAAGCAAGGTGGCACTCACTCCCTTCTTCTTCTATATCTGGTGGTCCAGCTACGCCCGCCACATTTACCCAGTAGCAGTGCACATGGCGTCAGAGGAGAATATCCTGGCCGACCGGCTCAGCAGGCTCCAGTGCTGCATCCATGAATGGGCTTTGGACAACAAGTTCACTTTGTCGCCGGTGGGGCACCCCACAAGTGGATGTGTTTGCCTCGGCGACCAACAGGAGGTGTGATTGTTATTGCTCGTGGGCAGGAATCGGCCTCCACTTCGAGGGGGACGCATTCATGTCCAGTTGGTCCTCCAGTCTCCTGTACATGTTTCCGCCCATCCTATTTTGATCCAGAAAGCTATCATCTTCATTGCCCCGTGATGGCCTTGCCAACCATGGTTCTCCGCTCTGCATCAGGAGGTGGTAGACTGTTTCTGGCTGCCAGGGATGCCCTATCTTCTGTCCCTACATCATGGCAAAATGGTTCACCCAGATCTGGACTTCCTCCATTTGACAGCATGGAGGCTGCTTCACTGTAGCCAATGTCCTAAACCATGCACAGAGGCAATGGCACTCACATACACCTACAAATGGAAGGTCTTTTGCACATTTGCATCTGCGCACCACTTACCTGCGCAACCCACCTCACTGGATGTAGTCCTTCAGTGCCTTCTCCATCTCTTCCGGCGTGGCCTTTCTCACTCCACAATCAAGATTTATATGGCAGCTGTAGTGGCACATCAGCCACCCTCTTCGGAGGCAGCAATTCTTTTCCGCCATTCCACTGTGAAGCAGTTCCTCCACGGCTTGAAGAACGTGCACCCAGCTTACAAGGCCCTGACTCTGCAGTGGTCCCTTCAACTTGTCCACCTCACGGGTCCTCTGTTCGAACCTCTGGCTACTGCAGCTGAGAGACTGCTCACCCTGAAAACGGCTTTCCCTCTTGGCATCACTTCTGCATGTCGAGCAGGAGAGCTGGCTGCTGCAAGAGTGGACCCTCCTTCCTTCAGTTTCATTTGGATAAGGTGATACTCTATCCGGATCTCTCCCTTGTGCCTGAGGTGGCCACCTATTCTCACTTGAACCAACCAATAGTTCTACCCACTTTTCCCTCTGCACTGACATCTCATTTAGAATGGTCCCTACACTCCCTAGACGTCAAGCTGACCCAGTGCTACTGCGTCTCTTGCTCTGCGTCTTTACACAATTTAAATAGGCTATTCATCTGCTTCCAGTGTCACTCAAGGGGGACCCTGGTCACATCCCAGACAGTCTCCCGGTGGATAGTTTCGACTATTTGTTTGACGTATGAGCTAGCTCACATGCCACTGCTGTGCACCATGAGGGGCCCATTCAACCAGTTCCATGGCATCCTCCACTGTGTTCCTCAGAGGGGCTGACCTATTGGACATCTGTAGAGCAGCTATTTGGGCCACACCATCTACCTTTATGTCCCACTATCGCTTGAATGTCCGGGCCAAAGCGGAAGCTGCTGTGGGTCGCGCTGTTCTGTCTTCTGTGCTCTCGTGACGTCCTTCCACCTGATAAGTGAGCTTGCTAGTCACCCATTAGTGTGCATTCACAGAGACCACGAAGAAGAAAAAGAGGTTACTTACCTGCAACTCTGGTTCTTCGAATGGTCATGTGTGAATTCACAGTTCCCGCCCTTTCTCCCCACTGTCTGTCATGTGTGCCTGCCTTTTTGCATGCTAGGCAGTGGCAGGCTGTTCCACAGAACTGAGGCACTCGGTGCCAGGGGGGTATGGGAAACGTGGGAGGTCCTGGCACCATGTGCTTGAGCTCTAGAATGTTCTGAGGCTGCTCTGCGCAGGCACAGATTAACCCATTAGTGTGAATTCACAGATGACCTGTCAAAGAACCAGAGTTACAGGTAAGTAACTTCTTTTTCTTATTTGGTGGTTCTTTTGTTTTTATCATTTAAGATTTAATCACAACCAAAATATTTTTAAAAAGCAAATGTGCAGATTGGTGCACTATCCCTGAAAGCTGTATGGGTTTTACAGCAGGAATGGCTGTACAGAACACAGATCCTCTGTTTCCTGGTTTGTTTGTTCGGATATCGGAACTGAGAATTTGGACTTATCTCTATCCAAGCAAGCCAAAATCAGAGGCTGCTGTTTGGCTTATGATGTGGCTTGTTTGTAGGGAAATTGGTAAGAATCTTTCATATCATCAGACAACACAATAAATACATGATAAGAAGAAGAAACATGGTTTGTTTAGACACTCCTACTTGCTGGTGGACGGAAGCGAGAATGACTGGATGGTGTGCTTATAAATAAGCCAGAGCTTTCCTCAAACCTTGCTCCTTGTGAATACTTATCTACCCACCATGTTTATTGACAAAGAATAAAAACATCTGAAAGAAGAATTGTAATCCAGTACACATAAATAATTGGCAAGGAAGAATGCTTCTTTGGGTTTTAATGGGATTGTTTTAAGTTAACTAACAGAAAAAAAAATCCTGGTACTGCCAAGGCTGGTGGTATTGTGTTTTTGTGTGATCCATGTTCTCTGGCTAATACAACATGTGGACTTCGCTGTATATTAATTCCTTGTGCTTGCGTTGAGACGAAATTAATCCTTTCTTAGCAGCACTGAAAAAAATTGATCATGCTTTATCCACAAACTCATAGGTTTGACCATGAGAATTTTTTTTAAAAAAAGCTTTTAAAAAAATAAAACCTGCAATAATTTTAATTTGCTGACTAAATATCAAATGTTGATTTGACATAATGCAAATATGAATGAAGTAGCTAAAGGGTTTATTGTTGTAGGCACTTTTTCATATTTATTACTGTTGAGTTCTTGTTTCTGAGCAGGGATGTGGTGGCGCTGAAGAATATTATGCTCCTGTCTAAAATAGGTTCATATTCACTTGTAAGAGATATGGAAATGTATGAGTTTTTTATCAAATGTATTTTATATATAATTTATCACTTATGTACAAGTGCCCAGCTTGCTGGGGGGCAAAGTGTCAACTGCCTAGAGAGTGCTTCCACATTATGCAGCAGTATATAAGTCGAAACAACAACATATATCATATACAAAATAAAGACATGTTTTTGTAGCTGCTTGTGAAAATGACTAAAAACGAAAAACTACTTCTGTTTATATTCTGGAAGAAAATATTTCCATAAATGTAATATGAAGGCTGGTTTGAGAACAGAAGATCACCTATTACCATCCTCCTGTAACTTTTTTTTATTGCTATTTGTCTGCACTATGTATCTGATGATACTCTATTTCAGGGGGTTAACTTGAACTGATAATAGTGTTATCTGTCATAAAGGCCACTGACTTTATTTTTTATTGTTTTGATCTTTTATAATTCCCTTTGGTTATCTGTATATTCTGGTTACTATGTAAGATTCTAATGTACAAGGAGCAGAATGAAATTATTTAAGGGACATTTGTGATTCTCCCCCCCCCCC